TTGTTTATGAACAGAGTTGTGGCAGGATTGACTAATTGTGCCGTCTGCATAGATAACTTAGTGTTCTTTAGCCATTCGTGGAAAGATCACATGGAAAATTTGGCAGAACTCTTTGAGAAACTACATAATCCAATCATAAACTTGGGAAAAACAGAATTTTCAAAGGCAGAAGTGACGTTCTTAGAGCACAACATTGGACATGGATGGATGACACCAAGGAACGTGTAGATGAAGACCACTGAGGAATTTCCAAGAACATCCTCAAAGAAGGAAATGCTATGATTGTGCCAAATTTTAGGAACGTAGAAAGACTGTTGATGGACTTGTTGAAAAAGTGCATGAAATTTTGTTGGAGAGAAGAATTTCAGGAGACATTTGAAAATTTAAAAGTAGTGATAACCACAATACCAACTTTAGCCATGCCAAATCTCTTGTATCCCTTCAGTGTCATCATAGACGCAAAAGATGTAGGTGTTGGAGCTGTCTTGTTACAGGTGAGTGATTGTGGAATTGAAAGGTCAAATGGTAATTGTTCAAAAAAAAACCTCAACATCTGCCAGAAAAGAAAAGAACTATTTAAAAAGAGTTATTGAGTTTGGTAATGGTCTTACAAACGCTCACAATCTTTTGACATTTCTGGAAACCTTTAAGGTCAAGACCACTAGATACTTTCATTAGACTGTCATGTTACAAGCAATAAATTTACAGATTGTACATGTTGCAGATCGTGATAATATTATCACGGATGCTTTATTGCAGGTGTAAAAGAAAAAATTCCATATGGTATAGAAACGGTCATGTTCAATGATACATGTAAGTAGAATTATTATGAAATGTGTAACTCTAGATTAATGAAATATAGATCTAGTAACACAAGGGAGTTAAGATTTATTTTTAAAAAAGAAACCATCTTTTTATTAGGATGGATAATTTTTTTCTTAAGCGGGGACGGGTTGTGAAGTTGAGTAGAATATTTGTGGATTGGAAGGAAGGAAGTTATAATTTGGTATGTGTAAAATACTAGCGGAAAGTAGTGCATGGTCCCTTTGAAAGAAGATATGTTTTTTCTATGCTTAGAGATATAAACAAAATGTCTGTGGGCAGCACATTGCGGGGTGGTTGATGCATCGAGAGCACTCAGATTGAAATGTTTGGATCAAAATGTTATACAGTTAGCAGGCTAAGCAGCAGTTTTGCTATCAATACAACATATTTTGTTTTTAGCCAATCAGGCACTTAGATACTAAAAAAAACAACTACATTTAAATCTGATGATTTTCATAACACAGGACCCATCCTATTGTAAGAAATTGATATGTCATCAAGGGTATAAATCGAGAGGGCAGTTGGAAAATCAGGGGAATTAACTTCCATCTACCAGAGTTAGCAGCTCTCAGCTCAAGAGAAAACCGTTAGTTCTCACAGCTTTCTTTAAGTTCTAGAGAAAGTACCACTTAAATCAAAGATACCTACAGCATAAGTCATTAATATTCCTGACAGAAGAGCTAAATGGAGAAGGCGTTTCTGACAGACAGAACATTCGATGGCGATGGCACAGAGCGTTCCGGAAGACACGTAATTTGGCTGTAATTTTGACATGCTAAAGTCTGATTTATTGCAAGAGGCTTCCACATCTGGAACAATGTCGCTCTCAATCAATTCTGAACAATTGATAATAAACTCGATGGTGCAATTCAGTTCTGAAGAAGAGTCATATAAGACCAGAAACGTTAAATCTGTTTTTCTCGTCGCAGATGCTGCCAGAACTGTTGAGTTTCTTCAGTATTATCTTTGCTTGTTTCATTGATATAAATGATGAATATAGGAGGTGTGGTTAGTAAGTTTCAAATGACACCAAAATTTGTGTTGCTGTGGTCAGTCAAGAAGGTTATCTCTGAAAACAATGGGATTTGATTAGGTCGACCAATGAACTGAGGAGTGACTGATGGATTGTAATTTAGATAACTGTGAGACATTTTGGTAAGGCAAACCAGGGCAGGACTTATACATTTAATGTTAGGACCCTTTGGAATGTTACTGAACAAAGAGACCTTGGGTGCAGTTTCAAAGAAACTTGAAAGTGAAGTCGCACATAGGCAGGGTAGTGAAGAAAGCATTTGTTATGCTTGTTTTTATTGGTCATTGCATTGAGTGCGGGAGTTTAGGTATCATGTTGAGGCTGTACAGGACATTGGTTAGGCCAGTTTTAGAATCCTGCGTCAATTCTGGTCTCCCTGCCAGAGGAAAAAAAAGTTGTTAAACTTGAAAGGTTTGGAAAAGATTTCCATGGACTTTGCCAGGGTTATAGGGTTTGAGCTGTAGCGAGAGGCTGAATAGGCTGGGTCTATTTTCCCTGGAGTGTTGAAAGCTGAGGGTTGACCTTAGAGAAGTTCATAAAATAATGAGTGGAATGAATATGGTCAATAGTCAAGGTCTTTTTCTTGGGGTTGGGGGAGGTGGGGGGTGAGGGTGTGTGGCGTAAAACTACAGGGGAACAAAAGTGTGAGAGGACAGATTTAAAAGGGACTTGACAGGGAACCTTTTCACACAGAGGGTGGTGCTTGTATGGAATGAGCTGCCAGAGGAAGTGGTGAAGTCTGGTACAATTACAACATTTAAAAGGCATCTGGATGGGTAAAAGAATATGAAGTGTTTTGAAGGTTATGGGCCAAATGCTGGCAAATGGAACTAGATCAACTTAGCACATCTAGTTGGAATGGATGAGTTGGACCGAAGGTTCTATTTCTGTGCTGTATCACTCAATTACTCTATGTCTCCAGATTCCACAATATTTTCTCTATAATTTAGACAGAGACCTTGGCTGTGGGATAAGCTTGTAATTGAATCAGGACTAGTGCCAAATGGGGATACGTATTGGACTACAGGGACAGGGGTGTTAATAGTACTAATACTGGTTGAACAGATGGCTGTGTTGTGAAACACTCCTAGATGGGGAGTGTTGCAGGACTTTTGAATGAGAATGAGACAGCTAAATCGTTTTTGTTTTAATGTAGGTTTATGGGCTGTTTATAAGGTAGTTCACTGTTCTGTGATTAATAGGGTCCACCGGGAGAGAGAAGAGAAATTAGATCAATTTAGGATTACCACAAGTCAATAGGGAGTGAATGAACTAAAGGATAACTTGAAGGTTAATTCAGGTCTGTAGACTGAGAATGGAGCAGGGTGATAAATTTGAAATTGACACAAGTTGAGGGAGAAATGCCAGCACAGAAATTGCTGGAGAAACTCAGTACCAGTTCTGAAGAAAGGTCACTGGACACGGAAGCTCAACAGCTCTTACTTTACACAGATGCTGCCAGGCCTGCTGATTTTCTCCAGCAATTTCTGTTTTGGTTCCAAATCTCCAGCATCCATACCTCTTTGTTTTATTTAAGAAAAAAATGCATCTCGTTTCAGAGATTTACTCAGCAAGCTGCAAATTACCAGTAAGCAGGTTAACGTAGGGAAAGGACTGGGAAAAGGCTGAAAACTGATGAAAATGGGAAATTTATTAATTGATACAAAAAACTCGCCTGGATATATTTCAAGAAATCCAATTCTCTAAACCCTTAACGCGACGACTATACCAATTGATGTTGGGGAATTTGAAATGCCCGAGTATGATTATCTGATTATTGCCCTTACACACCTTGTGAATTGTCTACATGTTTATTCCCTAAATTCCTGCTGACTCTTTGGGGGTCTGTGATACACTTCCAGTAAATTGGGTGCCCACTTAAAATTCCTGTTTTCAACACTTAAAGTCTTCTTTGAGGACCCTTCCAAGATTGCGTCTCTGTTTATGGCACTAATTGACTCCTTTCCTATTAGTGTTATGCCATCACCCTCTTTACACCCTCCTCTGTAGCGCCTATACATCCTCTACTCTCGAATGTTGAGTTGCCAGTCCAGCCCTTGCCCCAACCATGTGTCTGTGATGCCAACAATATCATACTTCCATGTCTTTAACTCATCAACGGAAATGGCTGGAAAAGCCCAGCAGGTCTGACAGCATTTGAGAAGAGAAATCAGAGTTAACGTTTCGGATCCAGTGACCCTTCCTTAGTTTCTGATTTAGAACATCCACTGTTCATTTGGTTTTCTCTTCAACTCATTAGTTTTACCTATTACACTCTTGAGCTTTAAAGGCCACCCAACCTTGCTCTACTCTCTTGACACTCAACACAGCTGAACTCACTCTGACTTGCTTCCTTTGCTGTAGCTTGATGTGTCCCTATTTCATCAATATTCTGCGTCCCCTCCTCCTGCCAGAGTAGGTTAAACACCTCCCAACTGCACTAACACGCCTAGGACGTTAGTCCCAATGTGGTTCAGGAGCAGACCGTCCCATTGCACATGTCCCACCTTCCACAAAAATGGTCCCAGTGATCTAGGAATCCAAAACCTTTCCCCTTGCATCAACTCTCGAGGGACATATTCATCTGCCCTATTTTCCTATTTCCATAATCTTTAGCACGTGACTGTGGGAGTAATTGAGAGATTACAGCCGTTGAGGTCCCGCTTTTTAATCTACTGCCCAGCAAGACCTCACTCCTCACTTTGTCCACATCATTGGTACCAACATGTACCACGACCTCTGACTCATCCCCTTATCCATTCAGGATGTCCTGCAGCCATTCAGTGACGTTTCTGACCCTGGCGCCAGGGGTTCAATACACCTTCCTGGAATCAAGTCTTCAGTTGCAGACACACCTGTCTGCTCCCCTGACTAAATAATCCACTATCACGATTGCTCTTACCGCCTGTACAGTCATGCCGTTTGTGGTGCCAGAAGCATGGCTCTGACTGAATTCCTTTGAGGTACCAACATCCACATCAGCTTCTAAAATGGAATACTGCACAATGAGTGGGGTCCCAGGTGACTCCTGCCCACTTGCCTGTTCTTTCTGGACTGTGTGGTTGTCACCCATTCCCTTCTTTCCTCTGGTCCCTTGAGCTGCAGTGTGACCACTCCTCTAAACGTGCTGCCCACGTAACTCTCAGCTTCGAGAACGTGCCACAGTTTCCCCAGCCGCTGCTAGAGCTCCAAGACCCAGAGCTCCAACTTGTGCAGCTCGGAGCACTTCCTGCACATGTGACCACCTTGGACACAGTTAGTTAATTAGGTCCACTTCCCTCTCCTGCCTGTATTAATCTTCACCACATAGTAGATTTCTGACTCCTTTGTCACTAAGGTTATGAATGGGTTAACTGTAACTAAGTAACTCGAAATCTGTTCGGATAAGGAAAGGTAAAGAGGGTCACATTCAGAATCAAACGTATTTCTGAAACTGAAGCTGGAAAGATCGGGCCTGCATTGGCGTCTCAATGTTGTATATTAGATTTTGAGACACAGCGGATTGTGCAAGGAAGATTGACAAAACGAGGGCTGACAGATTGGAAACAGAAACAAGGAAGGCTCACTTCTCTCAAAGCATTGTGAATCTATGGAATCATTTACTCCCAGAGTGCGGTCGATGCCGGGACACTGATAAATTTGAAGAGGAGACAGACAGATTTTTAATCAGTGAAGGGTTGAAGTGTGACGGAGAGTGGGAATACAATACAGTTGAGGTCAAGATTTGATCCGCCATGATTGCATTAAATGGTGGAGCAGTATAAATACCCAAATAGGGAAGTCATAAATATCAGGATTGATTGAGCATGATTGTGCTTTATGCGAGAGAAAAGACAAAATTGAGGGGAGACATGACAGGGAATTTCAGGATGATGAAACGTTTTGGTAAGGTCAATGTAGGGAAGATATTTTTACTTGTAGGCTTGAGCCTAAAGTAGAGGCAAACAATTTAAGAGCAAACAAAGGCACAAGTGAAACCAATGAGAGGAAATTCTTCACCCAGAATGGGATGAGAATATGGAGTGTATTCTCCCAGATACTGGCTGAGACGAACGGCGACGATGAGTTTATCAGGATGTTAGATCAACACGTCACGGAGAAAGCAATAGAGGAATTGTCAGAGGTTAATATTCAAAAGGCATTGGAATTGCCTTCCATGAAGAATGAACACCACAAGGACCTGCTGTGCCAAATAGACTCATTCTCTTCTCGAAATTCGATGTATTTAAACCTGAAATATTCTGGGAAATTCTGAAAGTGTTAAAGGTCCTATGCAGGAAAACAATTTGTGCCAGATGCCTCGAGTGAGTGATTAGTTTGGGCTGTTCCTTCAACTTGCTGGTCCTAATCTCTTGAGCTCACTTTGTGAACATTTCCACATCTCTCCCTCTCTCTCTGTACCGCCCTTTTCCCCATCGCGCTGTCTCTAATTCTCTCTCGCTCTGTATGATTTATCATCCAAATGATCTATCTCAGAACTAAGCCATCTTATTTAAGAGTTTGATCATAGTATCATAAAATCTCCCTTTAAGAATATAACATACTAAATCGTAACAGGAATAGGCCATTCAGTCCCTAGAATCCCTCTATCATTCAATAGGACCATTGTTGACCCGAAAATCCTCACGTCCACTTCACTGTCCTTTCCCTGTAACGCATTATCCCTCTCCTGGTCAAGAATCTATTTCTCTCAGCCTTAAATATACACAAGGACTCTCCCCACACAACTCTCTGTGACAAGGTGCTCCAAAGACTTGTAACTCTTGGAGAGAAGAAATTCCTCCTCAACTCACTTTTAGATTGGCACAACTTTAGTCTGAGACTATCAAGGGAAGCGATGGCCTAGTGGAATTATTACTAAACTGTTAATCCATTGACCCAGGTAACATACTGGGGACCAGTGTCCAACTCTTGTAAAATCAGATGGTGGAATTAGATTGAAACATGGAATTAAGAGTGTAACGGCGCCCATGAATACATTGTCAATTGTTGAGGAAAAAATCTGGCCATGTTTACCTGGTCAGGCCTACATGTAACTCTAGACCCACATAATTGTCCTCTGGGCAATTAGGGATTGGCAATAAAACCAGCGATGCTCTTATCCTGTGAATGAATAATAAAAGAAGACATTGCTGTCTGCTCCCAGACCCTCCCAGCATTTACCCTGTGTTATGGCTGATCTTATCAAGGACTCAGCTCCACCTACCCCCAACTCTGCAGTAAGCCTTATTTCCCTTACTGATCATAAATCAATCTTGACCTTTAAAACATACAACGAGGAAGCCTCAACTGCCTCACTGGGCAGGGAATTCCACATATTCACAACCCTTTGGGAGAAGAGGTTCCTCCGCAACTCAATCCTATATCTTATTTTGAGGCAATGCCCCTTAGTTCTAGTTTCTCCTGCTAATGGAAGGAAACTTCCTGTTTCTATCTTGTCTCTTCCCTTCATAAATTTATACGTTTTTGTAAGATTCCCCTCATTCTTCTAAAATCCAATGAGTATTGTCCGGTCTACTCAATCACTCTCTAACCCTCCCAACTCCAGATTCAACCTAGTGAACATCCTTGGCACCGCATCTGGTGCCAGGTGATTATTTCCCAAGTAAGGATACCAAAACTGTACGCAATATTCCAGGTACAACCTCACCAACACCCTTTACAGCTGCAGCATAACCTCCCTGGTTTTAAAGTCCATCCCTGTAGCAATGAAGGACAATTTTCCATTTGCCTGCACAAGAGCACCCAGGTCTCTCTACGCTGCAACACGTTGCCACTATACACTATTTAAACATACTCAGGATATCCTGAATGAAGAGGTTTCTCCTCACCTCAGCTCTATATAACCCATACTTCACTACTTCAACCATCATTCCATAAAGTACAGGCAGAAGAAACAATGTTTGTGCATTAAGGCTGTTGTAGCTTCCAAAGTTACTTGCAGCCTTCAGAACTCAATATCGAGTTCAATAATTTTATGGCTGCAGCTTCTTCACCCATTTCCTTACCCCAACTCCCAAACGCCATTCTTAGCTATCACAAACAATCCGATGTCAGCCACTAATGGTCCCCAGTAGCGGCTATTCATTCTGACCTTTACCCATCCATTTGTCTGTTCAACTGCAATTCTCTCTCTCTCTCTGGGCTCCATATCCACTTATCCTTCACTCCTCCACCACGACTTCCACACACCAGATCAGTATATATACCAACCTTTTCCTAGCTTCATTCAGCTCTGAGGAAGGGTCATGTACCCGAAACTCTACTTTGTCTCCACAGATGCTGCTAGGCTTGCTGAGCTTTTCCAGCAATTCCATTTTTGACTTCTGATTTCCTGAGTCTACACTTATTTGGTTTTTGAGGTTATGGTGTGTTTCAGTGTGCGTACCACTGTATCTGGAATCCAGGGAATGGAGAAATATTTCTTTCAGTCTCTCTTCAAATGCCAACCCTTCCATTGCTGTTGCTGCATTGAGGTTTCCTCCTTAGTTGTCAGTTCCCTGACCGTGGTTGTGGGAGCGGCACTTCCACAGTGGAAGTCGGCACAGTTAGATGTTACACATCCCTTCATGGTACTTCTATACAGTCAGGATGGTAGCAGTACCTCAGTCATAGTGAGGGTACAGTGAAGGTTCACCAGGATATTGCTTGAGATGGAGAAATTGACCTATAAGGAGAGAATAGATAGGCTTGGATTGTTTTATTTAGAGCAGAGATGGCTGATGGAGTGGGGGACATTAAAGTGTATAAGATTATGAGAGGTATGGACAGGGTGAATAGACAGCAGCTGTTCCCCTTGGTTGAGGGTTCAATCACGAGGTGTATCGTTTTGGGGTAAGGGGAAGGAGATTCAGAAGGGGCTCAGGAAAAACCTTTTTCACTCAAACAGCAGTGGGAATCTGGAATGCACTCCTGGGAGGGTAGTGGAGGCTGGAAAAGTTACAACCTTTGAAAAAAGATATGTAGATGAACACTTGAAATATCATAACATTCAAAGGTATGGGACAAGTGCAGGCAATTGGGGATTAGTGCACCTTTCATGGTGTTATTGTCCATTCAGACTCAATGGGCCGAGGGGCCATTTCTGCGCTGTGTGATTCTATGACTTTAGGTCACAGAATCTCTACAGCGTGGAAGCAGGCCCTTCGGCCCAACAAGTCCACACTGAACCTCAGAGCATCCCACCTAGACCCATTCCCCTATCACCCAACTAACTGACACATCCATGAACACTGTGGGCAATTTAGCATGGCCAATCCACCTAGCCTGCACATCTTTGGACTGTGGGAATAAATCGGAGCACTTGGGAGGAAACGCGCACAGACTCGGGGAGAATGTGCAAGCTCCACACAGACAGTTGCCCGAGGGTGGAATTGAACCCGGGTCCCTGGTATTGTGAGGCAGCAGTGCTGACCACTGAGCCACCGTGCTGCGTGAGATCCTTCCAGCTGCAGGATCTGAATCTGGGAATGAGCAGCAACCAAAGGTGCCATGCAGACATCTACAGAACAACTTCTTTCCCTGAGAGACTCAGGAGACAACACCGGGCTTCACTGATTCCCACCTGATCAGCGGCTTGTGACAAGTGAGCCAGTAACTTCATGGCAGCTGTAGTTATACAGGACCTTGTTGAGGCCACACCTTGATTATTGTGCAGTTTTGGTCTACTAGTCAGAGGAAGGATGTTCTTGCTGTTGTGGATTCCAGCGAAGATTTACCAGATTGATAACAGGACTGACATATCAAGATAGACCGGATCGACTGGGTTTGTACTCACTGGAATTTAGAACAATCAGGGGAGATCTCATAGAAACATAGATTAGAATGGAGAAGCTAGATGCGGGGAGAATGTTCCTGATGTTGGGGAGGTCGAGAACTAGGGGTCATGGTCTAAGAATAAGGGGAAAGCCATTCAGGACTGGGATGAAGAAGAATTTCTTCACTGAGACAGTTGTGAACCTTTTGAATTCTCTCCCACAGGAAGTTGTTGGGCCAGTTCGTTAGAGATGTTCAAGAGGGAGATGGACGTGTGATTTGCAGCTAAAGGGATCAAGGGGTGTGGAGAGAAGGCGTGAATATAATACTTAGATTGCATGATCAGCCATGATCGTATTGAATGGTGGTACAGGCTTGAAGGGATAAATAATCTCCTCCTGCGCCTGTTTTCTGTTCCCAATCATGGTCAATTTATGCTTCAGGTCAAGGTTCACATTTATTTCAATTGAAGTCACAAAGGTACTTGGCATTTACAATCAACAGGAGATTAACTTTGAAATTTGGATTGAATTCAGTGTTGGGGTAAGGACTTGAAATATTGTTTAAGTGAAAGCCACGGCAATGAGGAGTTAGGATGAGCGTCACAGCCTTTAGTCAGGCTTAGAGTTGCAGTTTAGGTTTATTTATAAAGTTAAGATTACAGTGAGCCTTTGGGTTATTTTAACGCTGAGTTTTGGACTAGAATTACGATTTGTTTGCTGTTTGAATTTGAAAATTTAGGATCAGAGTTAGAGCTGGGTGCAGACTTATATATCGGCTTAATGTTAAGATACTGTTCCAAATTATATCAAATTAATAATTACAGGTCGATTTAGACTTCAGTTAGGATTAGGAACACATTTAAAGTCGGGGTTTGTGTAAATGTTTATTTTTTCTCACCATAGGGCTAGGATTAATTACGCAATAGGGCTGTGGGAGCAGTAAGGCTTATTGGGATTGGTAAGGTTTGGGTTAGAGATGGTTGTCAGAACTTTTGGTTCAGAGGTTTTTGTCATTGTTCAGAAGAGACTTAAGATTTTGAACTCAGTTAAGAAAGAAGCCCTGAGAAAAATGCAAAGACAGTGTAATGGAAACCGCAGCAGAAGCAGCAACAAGAGCTTTTATTTTTATTTTCTGCATCAAAGCGTCCAAAAGCAATTCAAACCAACACTTTGCAACATTTTTTAACTCCAGATCACGGAAACAGATAGAAACGAAGAGGGGCACAGTTTGGGAAAATCGCAATGTATTCAAGGGTTGGCCAGAGTAACGAGAGAGAGTGAAACATAGAGAAGAGAGAGAGACAAACCGAGAGAGAGACAAGCCAAGAGAGAAAGTGAGACACAGCGAAAGATAGAGACAGAGACACAGCGACTGAGACACAAAGAGGGAGACGGAGACAATGAGAGACAGCCAGAAACAGAGAGTGACAGACATACACATAGAGATTCGGAGAGAGAGACAGAGAAAGAGAGAGAGAGAGAGAGAGGTGGGGGGGGGGGGGGGGGGGGGGGGGGGAGGGGGGGGGGGCGGTGGTGGCAGTGGGTGTGGTGGAGAGAGAGAGAGATTGAGAGAAACAGAGATGGACAGAGAGAGTAAGACACAGAGAGAGACTGAAATTAAAGATAGAGAAAGAAAAAGAAAGAGAGACAGACAGACAGACAGGCTCACACTCTCTCTCTCTCTCTCTCTCTCACACACACACACACACACACACACACACACACACACACACACACACACACACACACACACAGTCTGTGAGGGGCAGAGAGACAATGAGACACAGAGAGACAGACAGAGAGAGGGGGATAAAGAAAAGTAGAGACAGAGAGAGAAACAGTTTGAGACAGAGAGAATGAGACACAAATAGAAGCCGAGAGACAGAAAGAGAGAGAGAGAGAAAGAGACAGAAAGGGAGGGAGAGAGACAGAGACAAAGAAAGGAAGAGAAAGAGATAGAAAGAGACAGAGAGGGAGGGAAAGAGTGGAGGACAGAGAGAGAGAGAGAGAGAGAGACAGAGACAGAGACAGACTGAGACAGAGAAAGACATAGAGAAAGAGAGAGAGAGAGTGAGTGAGACCAAGAAAGAGAGAGAGGGAGAGTGAGAAACAGAGACAGGAGACAGAGAGAAGGATACGGAGAGCCAGAGTGAGAGAGATACAGAGTGAAGCAGAGAGACAGACAGAATGAGACAGAGAGCGAGAGGCAGAGAGAGCGAGATCACTTTTCAACACGTCAGGAGGAGCAGGATGTGAAATTAAACAGCTATGACCATGCTGAGGTTCAACCATAAGGTCCTCTTTGTATGCCTGCCTTGAGTCCCTTGAGTGGAGTGAAGAACAAAGGAACACGTAAACCTTTTCCAGAGGAGAGGACATACCAGCTGCTCAAAAGTATGCTGAAGAGACAGAGAGTGATGGCAGTTCAGGCATAGCCAAGACAACATTGTGTGCAGTTTGGTCTCTTTGTCTGAGGAAAGATGTTTTTGCTATACAGGGAATGCAATGAAGTTTTACCAGAGTGATTCCTGGGATGGCAGGGCTGAAGTATGAGCAGAGATTGAGTCTATTAGGATTGTATTCACTGGAGTTTATGAAGAGTGAGGAGATAATCTCATGGAACCCTATAAAATCCGTACAGGACAAGACAAGTTAGATGCAGGAAGGATGTTACTGATGGTGGGGATTGCAGAAGCTGGGTCATAGTTTAAGGATAAGGGGTAAACCCTTTTGGACTGAAATGAGGAGACATTACTTCACTCAGTTCATTACCATAGAGCATAGTTTAGGGCAAAAAATGTCTTTTAATCATAAAATCAAGAATACAGAAGATATCGTTCTTGTAGCTGAAGGGAAGAGGGATATGGGAGGTGGGTGGATAAAGGCAATGAGCTCAATGATAACCATGATCATGTTGAATGGTGGAGCAGGTTTGAGAAGCCCAATGTCGTGCTACTGTTCTTATCTTCTATTTAACTCTGTTTCTTTGAAGGGAGAGGTAATCGCCAAAGTATTTTCAATAATCAATAAGATCAGATGTGAGAAGTGAGAATGGAACTGGTGAAGGGGAAATCACCATTAGTTCTAATCCTCCAGCCATAGCTTTTGTTTACTGAAGAACTGCTCTTTCTGTGTATAGTTGTTGGGAACTGAACTGGAAAGGTTTCACTCAAGGCCTGGAACAATAGGGAGAAGTTATTTGTTTCTTTTCACAGCTAATTGAGTAATTGATGCAAATGAACATTTCACTGTTCTCCTGACCTGCTGTCTGAACTTAGACTGAGTTGCTCCATAAATAAACGCATTTGTGCAGCAACTTAAGGTCTGCAGCATGTACCCGACCCGTTGAAAAGCTATTTGGAAATCATTATAATGCATAGGTTTTTGTCCTGTTACCTTATAATATACAAAATCTATGACATACACTAACCAAAGAAGGATGAAGTTGCTGGATATGGTGAAAAGTAAAATCATCGACTTCCTTCTGCTCTCCATCTCTGCGTCTCTGTGATTAACTTCTTTGCCCTGACCCCTCAGTCCCTTCCGGACTTGACTGGCCACTAAAATATGTCTAATTGTCAGAGCATTGAGCAACAGGATTAAAAGAAATGGGAGCAATGGTGTCAAAAACTTATCAAATAAGTCAAATCCTTTCCAACCAGGTTCACTATAATAGGCCGGTTTTGGATAGCAGAACCATGCCATATTGTCGATTATCTCTCCAGGCTCAATTGCAAAAAAGAAGGGGATGTTTCTCAAAAATAGCAGAACACCAGTTGCTGTTAGAATCATGATTGATAATCTTTCAGTGCAATATTTTCTTTTGAGTGTCTGGCAACAAATAGCCACAAACCTGTCAAAGGAGAATGTGACAGTGAACCAGACAGAGCAGTCAGTGGCTGCACACAAAAGGACATTGATCACACTGCACACAGGGGTGATATCCAAGAAGCACTGTGGAAAATAATAACCCCGGAGCCGGTTCAGTATAACCTCAGTGATAATGACCAGTAGATCCCCTGTTGCCATGGCCACGAGGTAATTAGTAGTGCAGGTGGAGAGACCGCATTTTCCCTGGGACAGGATTACAATCGCCAATAAATTAACTGTAGAAAACAGGAAAAAAAAGCTGGAAAGCCAGGAAGTTAGTGATTTAAACATTCTATGTGTCTAATGCAGACTGTGTCCTTATTGACCAGACCAAACATCCTCAAAATAGATCAAGGAGATAGCCTAGGCCTAACTTTAATCTTGTTTAAAAGCAATTGTAAGGTGCTTCATTCCAGATTTTATATGATTGTTCAAATTAGGCTTTGAGAAAAACAGACTTTATTCTTAGTCTACAGTTAAAATACAAACAGAAATGTCTTAACTTTAACTCCACGGAAATACTTAACAAATAATATATATTGTTAATGCTACTCGTCAACTCTACCAATTTCAAAGCATCCCATAAACACGTCGTTGGCTTACGAAAATTCAGCAAAAAAGTGTTAGTCTCACGTGCGGTCTCCTCACTCTAATCCAGCAGAATGAAATTTTGAAAGAAACAGATTGTCAGCGGAGAGACAACTCAAGTTCTTTTGCAGCAGCAGAGAGAGAGATCTGTATCAAGCAGCTCCAACTCCAAGACCAGAACTGAAATCAAAACTAAAACCTTGTGTCTGTGTGAGCCTGACTGTACCCCATGCATTCATGTTTCTTTCATCTACATAAAACCAACCACACAGCTATTTATCCTGCTTTTCATGGAGTGGACAGTTTGGCACCAGGTTCACAACAGTTACTTTCAAGAGACACATGACAGCACAAATCCCTCTTAAAGCCAAAGCTCGTCATAGTATAGCAAGAATCTTAGCATCAAAAATGATTTCATCAGGGACATATCAGTGGATAACATTTGAAAAGAATCAACCATCTCTCTCATGTCCTCCGTCTAGGTTTGGGGATGTGTCTGAGCAGACAATCGCTCTTGGGGTTAGTTCAGCAGTTTACTTTTTTAATGATGATTAATGCCTTTGATTTGATCCAATTCACATCCTTAAAGCTTCATGCTAAGTTTCTCCATTAGACACTAAGCCCCACACAGCCACACTGAAATTAGTGAATTGACTTGTCACATGCCCTTCCTCTTGAAAACTTGGATTAGACACCTCTACCCCTATTGCGGTCTCCCAGTATCAGCACACAGATCCTCAGGTCAAACTGATTGCAAACATTGGACCTTTCCCAGAGTTTAACTTCTCATGGATTGCACTGTCCCGAGGTTCACATTCTTCCAATGTACAGATAGCCCCTAGTATTCCATCCATTTTCAGCAGAACTGGATCCTTTTTTAGACTGGGCATTCATTCAGATTGGGAGAAGATTGGATTTTTGGACCCCTCCAAAAATGGCATTTCCCAGGACCAGAAACTCTTCAGGACTTGACCCTCACTTGGCTTCCCACCTCCTTTATATCAGATGTTCTCATTCTCGTCTTCGATTGGAAACCTGATCATTCTGAACTGACTTCAGGCTAAGAGTACTCTTCCCGGGTCACAAACCATCTCCACGGGTGTTGAAAATGTTTAATGCAGGATAATGAAAGCGAAGAGTGAGCGAGGGATGTACAGAGAGCAGGTGAATATTTACCAGGAAGAAAAAGTGATAGGAGGTTGTGCGTGACCAACCTGCCAACTTTGCACCAAGAGAGAACCCACCACCGCATCTCTGAGTCACCACCCTCATTTACTCACAGAGCTGCCCAATAAAGTGGGAACGTTGGTGAAAATCAGTTTATCATCCCTTTCTTATTTCTCAGTTCCACCCAAATAACTTCACTGAATGTGCTTCCAAAGATATGCTCCCTAAGTGCAGCTGTAAAGTTATCCTGAACGAAATACGCCACTCTCCCTCCTCTCTTGCCCCCCTTTCTATACTTCCTATAGTATCTATACCCTGGAATATGAAGTTGCCACTCCTGCCTTTCCCTGAGCGACCTTTCTATAAGAGCTATAAAATTCCAGTCTCATGTTCCCAACCATACCTTGAGTTCATTTGCCTTACCTGTCAGGTTTCTTGCATTGAAATATATGTAGTTTAATTTAGCAGTCTTACCTCATTCTCTGCTTTGCCCTCGCCTGCCTTGACTATTTACAGTCATAGTGTGAGAGAGATGTACAGTGGGGAAGCAAATCCTTAGTTCCAACTTGTCCATGCCGATCAGATATCCTAAATACATCTAGTCCCATTTGTCAGCAATTGGCCCATATTCCTCTAAACCCTTCCTATACGCAGATTTTTTTTAATGTCGTAATTGTACAAGCCTCAAAAACCTCCTTTGGCAGATTATTCCAGACATGCACCACCCTCTGCATGAAAAACTTACCCCTCTTACCTTAAACCCATGTCTTCTAGTTTTGGACTCTCATACCCTGGGGAACATATCTTGGTTATTCAGCCTATCCATGCCTCTCATGATGGTATAAACCTTTATAATTCACCCCTCAGTCTCTGACGCTCCAGGGGAAATGGCCCCAGCCTATTCAGCATCTCCCTGTACCTCAAACCCTCCAACCCTGGCAACGTTCTTGTAAGTCTTTTCTGAACTCTTTCAAGTTTTGTCACATATTTCCATAGACATGCAGACCAGAATTAAATGCTGTATTCCAAATGTGGCCTTTCCAATGTCCCGTACAGCTACAACACGACCTCCAAACCCCCATAAACAATGCACTGACCAATAAGGGCAAGCGCACCAAATGTCTTCTTCACAACTATGCCTACCTGGACTCCACTTTCAATGAACAATGAGCCTGCACCCCAAGGTTTCCTTGCTTGACAACTTTCTCAAGGACCTTACCATTAAGTGCATAAGTCCTCCTATGATTTGCATTTCCAAAATGCAGAACCTCACATTTATCTAAATTAAATTCCATCTGCCACTCCTCGGGCCATCTGATCAAGGTCCTGTTGTACTCTGAGGTAAACTTCACTATCCACTACACCACCATTTCGGTGCCATCTGCATCATAGTTAAGAGTTCAGGATTGTGTCTTAGTATGTGTATGTGTGTGTCCGAGGGAATGTGATGGAGATTGTTTAGACTGAGTTTAACTCTACATATCTGTTTGGGTTATGCCTATCCTTCAAATATATGACTACAATACATGCTCAGGAGCCAGCACGGTGGCTCAGTGGTTAGCACTGCTGCCTCACAGCGCCAGGGACCCGAGCTGAGCTCCCATCTTGGGTGACTGTCTGTGTGGAGTTTGCACATTCTCCCTGTGTCGGTGTCGGTTTCCTGCGGGTGCTCTGGTTTCCTCCCACAGTTAAAACGTGTGCAGGTTAGGTCGATAGGCTGTGCTAAATTTCTTCTAGTGTCCAGGGATATGTAGGCTAGGAGGATTAGCCATGGAAACTGCAGGGTTGCAGGGATTGGATAGGGGGGTGAATCTGGGTGGTATGGTCTTCGGAGAGTTGGTATGGACTTGTTGGGTTGAATGGCCTGTTTCCACACTGCAGAGTCTATGAGACTACCATCGACAGAGCTCCCCTTGCTGGTTTTGTCCTGACAGTGTTTGACTACACAGGAAGCTTTACTCTATATCTAACTCCATTCTCAATTTGCTCTGTGTGGTTTAGATGAGTACAATATCGGGGAAGCTTTACTTTGAATGTTGTATATGCCCTGATGTTATTAACTTGGAACAATGATAGCATGTGCTGTGAATTTTGATTGGAGGCAGAGTGAATAGAGATTTTTGGGATAAAAGAGGCGGAATGGATATGACATCAAGAGTGACTCAATGACATAGAATCCCAATTTCCCACACTTTCTTGACTTTCCCTATTTATAAAGTCAATTTAACTTGCTCCCCTTATCTAACGTACCTGCCTCAGACATACGTTTTCCTCAAAATTTCTTTGGGTCCCATTTCCAGCCACCCAACATCCCCTCCACTGCCCCACCTCGCTGACGAAGTTTAAAGCCACCCATGTAGCACAAGCCAATCTCCACATAACGATATCACTCCCCTTCCAATTTAGGTGCAAACCGTCCTTCTTATGCAGGTCACTTATACCCCAAAAGAGATTACAATGATCCAAAAAATGGGAATCCCTGCCCCTATGCACCAGCTCCCCAGCCAGACATTCATCTGCTCAATCCTCCTATTCTTATTCTCACGAACACATTGCACAGAAACGTCTATCTGAGCCCCTGACTGGGCAGCCCCCTATCACAATCAATTACTTGCACCCTGAAATACACTTCATTACACTAGAACTAGTCTTGGTACCATAAACCTCGCTGTCAAGGCTACATTCCCCTGAAAATCCATCACCCCGTACATTTTATAAAACAGCACATGTAGTTGAGATAGGGATAGCCTCAGGAGACCCCCGCACTGCCTTCTACTTTTCCTACCTTTCCTAGATGTAACTCATCTGCCTGACTGCATCTGTGGTTTTTCTATCTTCCTGAAAACTGCCGTCCATCATACCCTATGGTTCTTGAAAATTCCTGATTGCCTCCAACTGCCGCTCCAACTGATCCATGTGATCTGATAGGATTCTCAGCCAAGCACTCTTCCTGCAAACATAATCTTCAGGAACATTGAAATTCTCCCTAATCATGTTCCCAATGGTGGGTGTGTTCAGAACCGGGGGTCACAGTATGAGGATTCGGGGTAGACGATTTAGGACGGAGATGAGGAGACATTTCTTCACCCACAGAGTGGTGAGCCTGTGGAATTCCTACCCTCATGAAGCAGTTGATGCCAAAACATTGAATATATTCAAGAGACGACTAGATATAGCACTTGGGACGAATGGGATCAAAGGTTCTGAGGAAAAAGGAGGATTAGGCTATTGAGTTGGACAATCAACCATGATCGTGACGAATGGTGGAGCAGGTTTGAAGGGCCGAATTGCCTCCTCCTGCTCCTAACTTCTATGTTTCTCTGTTATCCATCAGGGACAACACATCACTGAAGGCCATCCAAGCACCTTAGTCTACAGACCCAGAAAATAGCACAGTCTTACTGCTCTAAAAACACTCCTCTAGTACAACTTAAAATAATATCATCACCCGATTCAACATTATAGATTTGCAAATAAAAAA